AAAAAAACAATTTGGAGAATCACCCATCGACACGGGGCTTGTCTTGTTGCCGAAATACGAAAAAACTAGATTTTTACCAGACATTTCCGGTGGAAACCCTGATATTTTTGAAGCGAATTGCCCAAATCAGACCTAGAGGGTTTTTATCTTAAAGTTTTTTGAAAACCGTCCAACCGATTGCAGTTCTGATGCCATTTTTGGCTTTTCCGGTCAATTTCACCATAAAACGAGTACCATGTCGACGGGGTTTTTTTTTAAATTTAATTTTGGAGAATCACCCATCGACAAGGGGCTCATTTTATGCTAAAATCTGCCATTAAAATTCCTTTTGGATGCCCTTGGAGCGAACCGCTCTGACTTTTTTGCCATGTTGCCAAACCTATCACGTACATTTTGGGTGCTCCACCCGGAAAATTTGAAGTTTTTTACGCGAGACGCGAAAATCGCCAACTTAAGAATTTTTTGTTATTTCTTGAAAATCATCGGGTGAATTGCCAGATTGGGCTTTTTGGGGGCGGTTTCAGCTGAAACCGCCACAATGTCCATGAGTGTTTTGGTAAAAAATGGGTTAGAATTGCTGTTTTTTGGAGAATCACCCCATCAAAATGGGGGCACAGAACGAACATAAACGCTTGCCTTGTTGCCAAAATAGGAAAAAAACAGATTTTTACCAGACATTTTCGGTGGAAGCCCTGATATTTTTGAAGCGAATTGCCCAAATCTGACCTAGAGGGTTTTTACCTTAAAGTTTTTTGAAAACCGTCAAACCGATTGCAGTTCTGATGCCATTTTTCGCTTTTCCGGTCAATTTCAACATAAAACGAGTACCATGTCGACGGGGTTTTTTTCAAAAAAAAATTCAATTTTGGAGAATCACCCATCGACAAGGGGCTCATTTTATGATAAAATCTGCCATTAAAATTCCTTTTGGATGACCCTGGAGCGAACCACTCTGAGTTTTTTGCCATGTTGCCAAACCTATCACGTACATTTTGTGTGCTCCACCCGGAAAATTTGATGTTTTTCAAGCGAGACGCGAAAATCGCCAACTAAAAATTTTTTTGTTATTTCTTGAAAATCATCGGGTGAATTGCCAGATTGGGCTTTTTGGGGGTGATTTCAGCTCAAACCGCCACAATGTTTATGAGTCGTTTGGAAAAAAATGGGTTAGAATTGCTGGTTTTTGGAGAATCACCCCATCAAAATGGGGGCACAGAACGAACATAAACGCTTGCCTTGTTGCCAAAATACGAAAAAACTTGATTTTTACCAGACATTTTCGGTGGAAGCCCTGATATTTTTGAAGCGAATTGCCCGAATCGGACCAAGAGGGTTTTAACCTTAAAGTTTTTTGAAAACCGTCAAACTGATTGCAGTTCTGATGCAATTTTTGGCTTTTCCGGTCAATTTCAACATAAAACGAGTGCGATGTCGACGGGGTTTTTTTCAAAAAAAAATAATTTTGGAGAATCACCCATCGGCACGGGGTTCATTTTATGCTAAAATCTGCCATTAAAATTCCTTTTGGTTGACCTTGGAGCGAACCACTCTGACGTTTTTGCCATGTTGCCAAACCTATCACGTACATTATGGGTGCTCCACCCGGAAAATTTGATGTTTTTCACGCGAGACGGGAAAATCGCCAACTTAAGAATTTTTTGTTATTTCTTGAAAATCATCGGGTGAATTGCCAGATTGGGCTTTTTGGAGGTGATTTCAGCTGAAACCGCCACAATGTTCATGAGTGCTTTGGAAAAAAATGGGTTAGAATTGCCGTTTTTTGGAGAATCACCCCCATCAAAATGAGGGCACAGAACGAACATAAACACTTGCCTTGTTGTCAAAATTCGAAAAAACTAGATTTTTACCAGACATTTCCGGTGGAAGCCCTGAAATTTTGGAAGCAAATTGCCCAAATCGAACCTAGAAGGTTTTTCCTTAATTTTTTTTGAAAACTGTCAAACCGATTAGTGTTCTGATGCGATTTTTGGCTTTTTCGGTCAATTTCAACATACAACGAGTACCATGTCGACGGTGTTTTAAAAAAAAAAAAAATTATTTTGGAGAATCACCCATCTACAAGGGGCTCATTTTATGCTAAAATCTGCCATTGAAATTCCTTTTGGTTGACCTTGGAGCAAACCACTCTGACTTTTTTGCCATGTTGCCAAACCTATCACGTACATTTTTGGTGCTCCACCCGGAAAATTTGATGTTTTTCAAGCGAGACGCAAAAGTCGCCAAGTTAAGAATTTTTTGTTATTTCTTGAAAATCATCGGGTGAATTGCCAGATTGGGCTTTTTGGAGGCGAATTCAGCTGAAACCGCCACAATGTTCATGAGTGGTTTGGAAAAAAATGGGTTAGAATTGCCGTTTTTTGGAGAATCACCCCATCAAAATGGGGTACAGAACGAACATTAACGCTTGCCTTGTTGCCAAAATAGGAAAAAACTAGATTTTCACCAGACATTTTGGGTGGAGCCCTGATATTTTTGGAGGCGAATTGCCCAAATCGGACCTAGAGGGTTTTAACCTTAAAGTTTTTTGAAAACCGTCAAACCGATTGCAGTTCTGATGCCATTTTTGGCTTTTCCGGTCAATTTCAACATAAAACGAGTACCATGTCGACGGGGTTCTTTAAAAAAAAAAATCAATTTTGGAGAATCACCCATCGACATGGGGCTCATTTTATGCTAAAGTCTGCCATTAAGTGCCTAAAGTTTTTTTTTTGGTTACGATTTCGAAATTTTTTTGAGAATTACCCATCATCGGATATATGGAGGTGATTTTATGAGGAAATTGTCTCAGAAAGCAAATTTGCAGCTAAAATTCGTCCAGCGTGACGTCAAGCAAGCGAGTTGTTGCCTAAATGTGAAAATTTTCGAGATTCTTATATTTTTTGAGGCMAATAATGGGAAAATCGCATCTTGAGAGATTTTCACTAGTTTTTCTGTATATTATTAGCTGATATTGAAAATATTTGTGTTTTTTTTTTGGAGAATCACCCCATCGACATGAGCTCATTTTATAYTGAAATTGTCCCAAAAAGTCACATTTGCGACCGGAATTGGYTTAGAATGACCATCAAGCAGGCGATTTRCAAATKTTGCCTAAAATGTTTTGTCAAGTGCCATGTTGCCAGAGTGCAGTTTGTTTCCAAAAATTTGCCCATCGACATGGTACTCGTTTTCAGCTAGAATTGACTGGAAAAGCCGAAAATGACAGAAAAATTCCGATTAATTTAACGGTTTTCGGAAAACCTGCGAATTTTGCTTTGAAAAATGTGGACAGCAGGAACCAATCGATTGCAAGTGGTGGCAGGTCAATTCCGGTCACAGATTTGGCTTTTTCAGACAATTTTAGCTGAAAATGAGTCACATGAAGATGGGTGGTTTTTCGAAAAAAAAAATAAATTGGAACCCAAAAATGATTTTTTTTGGGAAAATTCACCCATCGACATGGTACTCATTTTCAGCTTAAATTGTCTCAAATAGCCAAATCTGTTACCAGCATTGAACTCAAAATATTGACAAGCGAGCCAACTGCATTGGGGAACTTTTTCTTGCGTTTCCGCACCAAGATCTTGAGGTTTCAGGAAAACCGTTAACTAAATTGCAATTCTAACGACATTTTTGCCTTTTTGAGCCAATTTCAACATAAAATGAGTACCATGTCGATGGGTGAAATTTGGAAAAAACTTTTTTTGGGTTCTAATTTTTTCAAATAAATAAATCCAGTGAACGGTTCGCTGCGCCATTTGTCCGCCGAGCGGCAGTTCAGCTACCGCAAGCTGAAGAACCCGGAGGGCGGCACTGAGGAGAGACCGCTGCGCCCGCCGCAGCCCATTTTAGTGGATGTGGCGCCCCCTGAGCTCGATCTCGTCTTACGACGCCCCGAACTCGCCAATGCGATCAGTTTACTGGACGAACCCATCGATGTGCCGCAAGAGGACGCTTTTGAAGGTAATTGAAAACCATGCATTCTTTGACGTTGACGTTTTTATGACTGTTCTTTGACAGTGACAGCGGCGGACGTCATTCCGCCACCCTACCAGCACCCGCCCGCCTACTGCAACCTGGACGACCCGTTTGACACATCCGCAGTCCTCCCGAGCCGCCCTCTGTACTCACGCATAGCCGCCCCCAGTCTGAGCCTGGAAAGGGAAATCATGGAGAAAATCCAGCAGTACGGCGCCCCCAAGAACCACGTGATGAGCGACATTGCCAATAGGGGCGTGAACTTGCCGCCCTCCACCACTGCGGGGGCGTTGCCCGCGCAGGGCCCCGCCCCCGATGTGGGCGTGGTCGCCAACAATCTGGCGCTGATCAGGTTCGAGGACGCCGCCCCCACTCCCGGTCTGGACAGGGCGTTCCTGGACAATCTGGAAACGGTGGCAACCGCGCCCGAGGTGAAGCGAGTCAACGAAAGTGAGCTCGACCGATGCAAATCGTCCGCAGGAAAAGCAATCCGCCCAATTTTGCAGGTTCCTACGCGAACCTGACGAACCTCTACGCCAAGGGCAGCAGCGACCTGTACGCGAAAGTTTCGGACAACAATTCGGCGCGCCATCATCAGGCCGACACCAAAGCGATCGTGAACAAGATCTGGTTCGATTCGAACAGTGTGGCGGAACCGGCCAAACGCAACGAAATCTACGTGGTGAATTCGGAATTTGGCGAGTTTAAGAGCAACCGGCGCTACGACTCGGTTTACCAATCGGTAAGCGAGTTTGGCGACCCCAAAGGTAAGTCGTCCACGCTCTAGATTAGCGCGCCTCTATTGGCTCTGCTCTTACCGCCAGCCTGCAACCTGTACAACAATGCGCAGCCAATCGAACAGAGCTACGCGCAGCATGAGGCCGCCCCTGGGCGGCTCTACAGCGACGGGGGCGCCGCCCTCTATCAGGAGATACCCGACAATGTGTACAGTCAGGTGCCGGAGGAGGAGCTGCGCCCGCATCGGCCCGCCCCCACCAAGCCGGCGCTCCTGGGCCAGCCAATCAGCATGCAGCAGATTCAGCGCAAGATCCAACAGGGCCAAGTAAGGGCGATTGTTTTGATTTGTATTAGTGGGCGTGCGCTACTGAGGGGGTGGAGCCAACAGTTGCGTCATTTTGCACTGCCCGCTCGATAATCATCACAGAAAACCCCGTTTTTGAGGTTAAAACTAAACAAATTTTCTGAAGTTTTTTTTTTTTTGGAAAACCACCCATCAAGGTACTCGTTTTGTGGTGAAATTGACTGCAAAATCCAAATTTGTGATCAAAATT